GGGAAGCAGCCGCATAGCACAGGGAGATCAGCTCGGTGCTTTGTGACGACCTGGAGGGGTGGGATAGGGAGGGTGGGCGGGAGGGAGACACAAGAGGTAAGAGATATGGGAACATATGTGTATGTATAACTGATTCACTTTGTTATAAACCAGAAACTAACACACCATTGTAAAGCAATTATACTCCAATAAAGATGTAAAAAATAAATTAATTAATTAAAAAATAGAAAAACTTAAAAAAAAAGATTCACCTCAGGGCTTTTTTAATATGTGGATCCCCTTGGACAGCTATTTATTTGTTTACAGGTTATTAACTATTTGGTTGAAAGATAAGAAGAGGCCAGGGTGGGCCAAAGAGCCATTGCCGCCATGAACTAGAGATCAATTAAACCCAGAAACAGAGCTTTCTGGTGGAGAATCCAACCCCTTTTTTTCTGCCCCATATCTGGGAAGGAACTGTTAGGGAGCCAAGAAAAAGAGACAGCCTAGCAAGGAAGCACATGGTTTTTGTGTACTTCTGAGAAAGCTGCCTTGGGTTCACACATGGCAGGGGAGGAGGGGCAGGGGAGGGGCTCCCACAGACCTCAGTGGGAGGCCTGGCCCTTAGGCTGTACTTGGTGGCTGGGGCTTTGTTTTCACAGGACTGTGATGGGAGGAACTGTGACTTACAGATCTCTGTCAAGGCCTGGCTCTGCTGCTGTAGCTTCAGGACAAAGGCTCTTGTTTTGCTTCCAGTACACTCCCTAAGACAAGTCTTAAGCCAGAGAAGGGTCCCAAGGAAGCCCTGCCCTGGGAGCTCTTTAACCTACTGCAATTTACAGGTCTGATTTTTGGAGAAATCTGTACCTCCATTAACTAGATGGACCTAAAGACCATTGAAAACAAAAATGAGATATAGACCCATTTCACCTCCTCTCATTTCCTCGGAATTCTATGCCAGTTCTGCTCAACAAGGTCTAGGCCTGAGTCACTCCACCTCTTATGCCCCCTGGAAAGCAGGCTGGTTTGAGGTTTAACTGTTCAAATATTGCTTTTTGTTTCATTTAATGAAAAATTTAATTTTTCTGGCAATTACTGATCTGGTGTTAGTCCTTCATTCTACAGGCAATGATTTATGGCCAGAATACATAATGTGCGTTGACCCAAGGTTTTTAATACCCCTTTACCGCATTTAATTCCCTACTAGTCTGAGAATCAGAGCTGACAGGATTCACTTTCCTACAACTATAGCATCTTTTCAGTGGCACACAACCCCTTCTGAGTTTAACTTGTACCTGGACTATTTGGTACTAGCTCCAAATCCAAGGTACCTATTTGGCCAACAGAAGAGAAGGACTCTTTTTATGCTGATCACATGGCACCACTTTCACATTCCGGGAGTGGCCTCTAAAAGCAGTTGAATCTGTTGACCAATTACTGCCTAGGAGAACAGCTAAATAGTAATTATGTCAAACCAAACTCTTGTCAGTTGCACTGTCATATGTAAATAGATAACACTAAACAATTTTAGCCAAAAGATTTCCCCATTCAGTTACACAGCGCTTCATCTGGAGGACGAATTATCTTAGAATCAAATCAGGTTGTAGTCCTTTTCAAAATTAAACATAACTCAGGAGCTAAGGTTCCTTGAGGGCAGAAATAAACGAGGTTTGGGGTAAATTTTTCCCTCAAAATACCCAGGTCAAAGTCTGTCCTTCTTGATTTTTTTAATGGGACAGAATTTGGGGAATTCAACAAAGTATTTCTTTAAATTCTGAAACAGATGAAGAGCTCAGAAATGAGGAACTCCTCTACGTTGTCCATAGATATTACTGAGTTTATTTTCCATGATTTTACTCAAGAGCATTTGCTGTGTAGGCATCCTTTTGACAAATTTCTTTAAGAGCTTAAAATTCTCCTCCCTCAAAAAAAAAAGTGCCTTTCTTTTGTGATAAACCTTGATCCTTGAGAACTTTGTAAATTGTCCTATTTCCTACCTTATCTGGGCAGCTAGAGAGTATAGTGCCTGCCTGGCGAGAGGAAGCCTGGGTGGCTAGGAGAAGGGGTGAGACGGAGGCTTTTTATTGTATGTATGTTTTAACTTTCAAATTTTGAAACTTCTCCATGTATCATCTATCTAAAAAATTAATGAACTTTAAATAAGATGGCATGATGATGGCAAAAAAAAAACTACAATGAGATATCATCTCACACCAGTCAGAATGGCCATCATCAAAAAATCTAGAAACAATAAATGCTGGAGAGGGTGTGGAGAAAAGGGAACACTCTTGCACTGCTTGTGGGAATGTGAACTGATACAGCCACTATGGAGAACAGTATGGAGGTTCCTTACAAAGCTAAAAATAGAACTACCATATGACCCAGCAATCCCACTACCAGGCATATACCCTGAGAAAACCATAATTCAAAAGGAGTCATGTACCACAATGTTCACTGCAGCTCTATTTACAATAGCCAGGACATGGAAGCAACCTAAGTGTCCATCAACAGATGAATGGATAAAGAAGATGTGGCACATATATACAATGGAATATTACTCAGCCATAAAAAGAAACGAAATTGAGTTATTTGTAGGGAGGTGGATGGACCTAGAGTCTGTCATACAGAGTGAAGTAAGTCAGAAAGAGAAATACAAATACCGTATGCTAACACATATATATGGAATCTAAGAAAAAACAATGTCATGAAGAACCTAGGGGTAAGACAGGAATAAAGACACAGACCTACTAGGGAATGGACTTGAGGATATGGGGAGGGGGAAGGGTAAGCTGTGACAAAGTGAGAGAGTGGCATGGACGTATATACACTACCAAACATAAAATAGATAGCTAGTGGGAAGCAGCCGCATAGCACAGGGAGATCAGCTGGGTGCTTTGTGACCATCTAGAGGGGTGGGAGGGAGGGAGACGCAAGAGGGAAGAGATATGGGAGCATATGTATATGTATAACTGATTCACTTTGTTATAAAGCAGAAACTAACACACTATTGTAAAGCAATTATACTCCAATAAAGATGTAAAAATAAAAGAAACATATAGCCCAACTTCAATGCTTGAAGCTATTTAGGATCCTGCCATGAACAAATAAGTTAAAAAATTATAAGACAATAGGAAAAATTTGAACTCTGGAAAAAAAAAGAAAGACCTCATGCAGCATAAATAAATAAACAAATAAATAATTTAAATAATATATTATTTTAATTTTTATCAAACTGATTGAATAGAAGTATGTAATTACAGGGATTGGTGTCATTCGAAGATGTGTCTGTGGACTTCACCCAGGAGGAGTGGAATCATCTGGACCCTACTCAGAGAACCCTGTACAAAGATGTGATGCTGGAGAACTATAGCCATTTGGTCTCTGTGGGTGAGTACAGATTCTCTGAGTAATTCATAGTGTGCCCAACAGAACAACTTTCCATCTCTGAAGTGTAGTAATACTTTGACCTCAAGTTCCAGGAACTAAAGATTCTTATTTTTATTTATTGATGTATAGTTGATTTACAATGTTGTGTTAGTTTCTGGTGTACAGCAAAGTGATTAAGTTATATATACATATATATATATATATTC